TACTGTCCTATCACAATGACTTACAAAAATGTCAGACCCGTTCTGCCTCCCATTTTGTGAAATTACAAAATAATGCATACACATTTTTAAATTTCTATTTTAATTAATAATAATAATAATAATAATAATAATAATAATAATAATAATAATAATAATAATTGCTTACACTTATATAGCGCTTTTCCGGACACTCCACTCAAAGCGCTTTACAGGTAATGGGGACTCCCCTCCACCACCACCAATGTGCAGCATCCACCTGGATGATGCGACGGCAGCCATAGTGCACCAGAATGCTCACCACACATCAGCTATCAGTGGGGAGGAGAGCAGAGTAATGTAGCCAATTTATAGATGGGGATTATTAGGAGGCCTAATGGGAAATTTGGCCAGGACACCGGGGTTACACCCCTACTCTTTTCGAGAAACACCCTGGGATTTTTAATGACCACAGAGAGTCAGGACCTCGGTTTTACGTCTCATCCGAAGAATTACAATCTGAATGTTCAGACGGAAGATGTATATGACACCAAAAGAATGAAAACTTTTGTCTAGGTTACCAAGAGAAAAAAGGCTTCAGACAATCAATATATAGGAGATACATCAGCAAGGGTGTAAAAAACTAAAAAAATGTATGCAGAATAAAGCCACCAAGACCACCAGGATCAATGGAGAGGGCAAAATGTGATGGCTGGAGTAAAAGTATGTACTTGTTACAGACCTCAACTTTAGTGACATACTGTAGTAGTGACTGATCATGTCCAAGGACCTCACTTGCTGGCCCACACTGATGAGACAACATTCCAGCAAGACAACCTACTGCACATCCTCACACTGCTTGTATACCAAAATAAAATGTGACAGCTACAGTACAGTATATTACGAATATCCTTTTCACTAGAGATGAGCCCTTGAGGCCTTGTGGGATAAACTATTGATAAGATTTCCCAAGTGTATTTATTTTATTTTTTTATTGAGCATTATGGAAGTTAAATTATTAACTAGCTGTTTATTAATATATTTTTATTTTACTTTTGGGGTTTGTTTTGTTTTACTTCATGAACATTAATACATTTTATAAGGCAATATTAAAAAAAACATAACATTTCTATTTCCCATTCATTTTAATATCACAGAATATTAATGATGAAGAAAGTGCATGAACAGATCTAAAATTTTTCATAGGACTGAGGAAGTGCTTACTATTAAACACTCTTTGTTTCTATATAAAGTACAAAATCATGTGTTTGATGAATGGCAAATAAAATAAGTAACCTTGAGCTCAGTACACTGATGACCAGAATCTATATTTTACACTTGCTGCAATTCATCTTTAGATCACAAAAGAAAGGCTTCAATAAGCAGAAATTTGAAATCAGTGAAACAAGGAATAAAAAATGGCAATACTTAAAACAACCATCACTAAAAATGAATTAGTGGCACAGAAAACAACTGCAGTAAGTCTAAAAAAAGGAGCATAAGAAAATGTACAAATAAGAGGAGGCCATTTTGCCCTTCTGGCCCATTTGGTAGTTAGTAGGTACAGTAACTGATCCAAGGATCAATTATATAGCTGTTTCCCAAAAGAAGCCAGGGTCTTGGCTTCAACACCATGGCTGGGTAGCTTGCTCTATACTCTCACAACACTTTGGGCAAAGAAGTACCACATGTTTTTTTTTAAATACACATCCACATAGTTTCCACTCCTTCCTTCTGGTTCATGTCACAAAAGACATTAAATCCTAAAAGAAGAGGTTCTGGACACTAAACTAATGGCAAGCAATAGATTTTCTTAAAAAAATCACTCGGAAAGTACAGATTATTTTCCCTTTAGACAATCAAATAAAAAATACATACACCCAATACATAGATTTTTCTTCTAACCAGTTTGAAAAGTATGTACTGAATAGCAAGCTGTTTCCTTTATGTTATCTAAAAAATGAGACACAATTACTGTATTGTAATGAGTAATAAGTATTGTAATATTTTGCACAAAGTGATCCAACTTAGTTGTTTTTCCCTTTCTGAGCTCCCTTATAATGTACAGGATGTGCATAGCTGGCTTTCTATCTACAGTTATTTGAATAACCCTCATCTCAATATACAAATTATCACATTACACCTAGTTTTCCATGGCAGGATGCAATCATGTCCAGCTGATGAACTGACTGTCCACATTTTGTGAAGAAATACATAAATACTAAAGAGTATGTACAAGGTCACCTACAGTATACAGTGCTGACACTAGTGTTTTTCACGATAGCTATGCATCTGAGAAAACGTTGTCAAAACCTGGAATAATATTACACTAAAAGACAATTTCTTGATTTTATTTCTTATTATAATCACCCTCCATCTCAAACACTAACACTTTATACTGTATATCCATTCTTAAGAGTATCAGTTTCTCGATTATATTACTCTTCTATCTGCTTTTTAATTACTTGTCAATAGAAGCCTTTAAAAATCATTGTGTTCAATGCCCCGAGGAGTATAGACTTCAGCTGAAAAAATAATAATCATGCCAGGCCACATCTTTGTTATAGCATGGATTCATCTGTTCAAATCCATTTTTGTGAACCTTATCCTGTATGAATCTGATTGTGCAAATTAGCAAATTGACAAACATATGCCGAACACCATTCCCAGAGTTGCTTGTGGTCATTTCTACACAGCTATTTAGACCAGTGATTGTAGTGCAATGATGATTTTGATTAGAGGTATCCTGTTTAAATCTCAGAAGATGCTGGCCTTAATCTTGTTATTTTAGGCTTTGATGCAGAACATCTTTGGGAGTGGAACAGTGAATAGCACTAATTCAATATTGCTTTCTTCCCAATAGTCAGTCATCAATAGTCAGAAACAAAGTCCCCTGTCTTGTGAGCTAGGGTTCCACCTATCCAACATACTGTAAAAGTTTGACATAATATTTGCACACATAAAGCAATCAATGCTTGGTCAACTGCTTACCTGTTTAAAGTTTGCAAATATATCAAACAAATATTATTTAGATTTTGAAAAGATAAACTTCTGTTTAATTTTGACAGCATGAATATTTATTTATTGGCTGGACTTGGTTGATCTTTTTGGGACTTATTAGCATTTCAGTGTGCAAAACAAGGTAATCTAGATATTACTTGAAAATATTGTTGCATGGACATACTTGATTTAGGTTTTAAGTTTAGGTAGCACTCAGAGTTTTGTGCTTTCCAATGCAGACTACTGCTTGGCTAGTCATATTAAAAGGACATCCAGACCTAGGGAAATGAATCAGTTCTCTGCTAACTCATGTTGTCAGCATACCACTGTTGAATATTTAGGGCCAGCTTTTGCTAACAGAGTTTCCAAGCATCAATCATAATATGATGATTCCACTTTCCTTTACCTTTGATGTCTTTTTTTTAATTAGCCTGATTAGAAATGAATTGTAGCTGCCACTTACAGCATGATACTGATATATTTTAATCACATTAACCAAATAAAAAAAACAGGAAATGTATAATAGTCACCATCAAAATATATGAGCTATAGTCTATGAATGCCCCTTTCACTGATAAAACAAGAATATATCAAATGTACAAAAGTGGAATTACATCTAAAAAAATATTAACTTAATAATATTAAGGATTTTTTAAACATAATTTCAGTTTACATTGAACACTATTCAGGATTTTTATAAATCCTGGACTAAAAAGGTAGACCAGTATTTTCCTGAAATGCCAAAGGATATGTTTTTCTTAGTTTTATACTTAAACTACATCCTGTTAACCCTGCAAATGGCTCTTTTTCCCAGCCTAAAGCTGAAATCTATCCTGAAAATCTGTCAATCACATCTGGTTTTACACCTAATGGTGATCTGTTTTTTTTATAGATAGAGTAAGTGAGGAGATCAAAGTGCAATAATTAATACAAATTTCAACTTGATTGAAAAATGAATAAAAAAGTTATTTTAACTTCATTTCCAAGAGAGACTTACTATAATATATACAGTAGAGGATTGGCTTAAAACTGAAAACACTGAATTCCATTCATCCATTTTCTAACTGGATTCCTGTCCATCACAGGGCAGACACAAACACAAACTCAGACAAGCACACACCCAAACAAGGGCCAAATTTTCCAGAAGCCAATTAACCTCCCCAAGGTCATAGACCACGACAGTATGTCTTTGGACTATGGGAAGAAATCAGAGCTCCTGGGGGAAACCCATGTGAACATAGGGAGAACAATACTAACCATTATACCACCATGCTGTCCAACACTGAATTTCACTAACGTCAAATTAAGTATTTCTGTATGTGGACTATGCAGTTGCTAGTCTTACAACAATGAGAATTGTGTTTCTCAAACAGGGCCATGTCAGTTTAAAAATTTAAATAAGGACTATGAGCTTTCTCCCAAAATAATTTTGAAACATTCACATGCTTGTTGAATGGGTGAACAATGGAAAGAGAGTTATGTTAACAAAAACTTAATTTCTATTGAAAAGAAATAAAGAATTTCATACTTTATAAATGTAGTAATTTGGATTAACATCTGTAAATAAGCTTGTAGTAACAGACAAATAAGTTCTGGAACCCGAGATGAAGTTTAAAGAACTGAGTTTATTGCATGCAAGGAACAATAAGACCAAAGTATTGTTTGAAACATAGGTACAAAACTTCCAGTTTATATAGCAAATTTCACCGGCTTCTGATGCAAATTGTTGCCATAGTAATGGGGGGCCACCTGTGTTTGAACATTCCCAAGACCTTGAACACTTGTGATGGTCGGTTTTATCTTTCCTTAGTTAGGGAGTCTTTATCTTGCACTTGGAATTTCATGTCAATTAAATCCCATCCCTGCCATAACTCAAAGGTGCCTAAGCATGGAATGTCTTGTGCCACAAGAAGTCTTTGTGCAGAAAGAAATCAGTTAACCCATTTTTCACATCTTATATCTTTCTTCAAGCTCTAAATAAGCACCACCTGTTCTAATGTATACACTCAGATCATGTTACTTACCTCCACAAGGAGCTCTCCGTGACACTTCCCAGGTTGAAATCAAACAGCTTCGTCAACATAAGAATGACCTAAACAAGAAATTGGGAAACAGACTTTTAGAATCATTTACACCAATTTGCCCCGCTATGGCCATTGTGTTAACTTAACATTTATTCAGTTATTATAATAATTAGATAAGATAATTTTAGCTTAAACTTTAATATTTAAAATATCTTTTTTATTCTAGGAACACACATTTTGAAACCATCAACTGAACTGACACCCGAAGAAGGCTCCACAGCGAAAATGTTGTGTTTCTTTTCTTCTCTCGAATAAACCTTTACTTGTTCACATGCTGACACAGCTTCCTACTTGAACTACCATCAATTGAATATTTACAATTCAGCTGACAGCAACAGGCTGTGTACACATTGTCAAGACTGAGGAGATGTAGACAGGCTCCTCCAATTGAGACATTCAACCTTTTGACATAATACAAACTCTACATCACCATAAAGGAGGTTTAGTACTGATTAGAGGAGAGGAATGTCCCTGACTGACAACACCATAGGCCTGCAGATTTTTAGGAAGTTTCAGGGGTTTCTGTTTAGATGACTAATCTCCTGTCCTACCCCAGTGGCTTTGTGAAAATTGTAAACTGCTGTTTGGAGAATCCCAGTAGCAGTCACCTAATGACATGACCCAGGCTTGAACTTATTAAGTCTAGATCACAGAACTACAATTACACACATAGTGAGCAACTTTATTGGTGGAGTCCATGAATCATCATCTGTTACAAACGCAGCTTGAGGTCTTTTATAATTCCTGCTGTCATTTTAAGTTTTATGATTCTGCCATTTTCCCTACACTGAATGCCCCAAAACACGAACTGCCCAGCCATTAAAAAATTCAGAGAAAAGACTGCTTATATTATGCTAAGGATGGAAGACTATCCATCACAATAATGTCATACCATATCTAAACATGTGGAACTTCATTTTTAATAACCCTTAAAATACATGTTACATAGTTCTAATAACCCTTATAATACATTTATTTAAACTTGACTGCTGAATCAGTATTGACATTTTCCAATTCTTTATTGGGCTTCTGAGTGGCTCAGCCAATAAAGGGGCTTGTATGGAGCCCATATAAGCTCACCGTGATTGAAATTTACCAGGCAGCAGCAAATAGCTGGCTGAATGTTGGAAATGAATTGGTTTAAACTTGACAAGGGTATCGTCCTCTTACAAGAAAACTGATCGATCCTCCACTGACAGGAGAGGTGTCTGTTATTAAGAGCTGCTGCACTGCTCCATTCAATGCTTACTGTGATGGGACCACCCTGGTACATTACAGAGGAAACCTCTACCTGTATCTACATATCATGCAGGTGCAACATTCATAGATGTGAAGATGAGTTGACAATTAACAGTTCACAAATTATTTTATAAAATTAGAAGTAAAATCCTCTCCTGACAACAGACTACTATATATAGGGGTGAAAAGAAGAAATAAATGTTCCTCTTGGGAGTTCAAACCTGCCAAGAAAAATAAGTAGATTGTCTTGCACACATGTTTCTGGAAGCCCAACCAAGAAGATTGTGTATTTTCAATTTAAGAAAACATTCTACACTATATAACTACACAAAAGACCCAGTTCATTTAATTAAATTGTCTACCTATAGGTTTCCACATCAAAGCTGTTACATTTTAGAAATACCAATAATTATGTACAAATACATTAATAAAGTTATGTATTGCAAAACTAATAATAATTTTTGTATCGCAGATTGTATTGTTCTATATGTACTGTACTTTACACTCAAACCAAGGTCTGTAAAAATAAAAGTACCCCTCCAATAACCATTACACACAGCTCTATTTAATACATGTATTTTAACTTACAAAGCAATAAATAATGCTCTGACAACTTCAGGGCTATCATTTGTACAAAATCATTAAACATGACACATTTCTGGTAAATCTAGCTATTGTACACTACATTATATTGTATGTATATATACACTGTACTGTACACTAACCACAGAATTTCTAATAATATTTAAGTAAAATTAATCACTTCTCCAAAAAGAAACCTTGATTGTTTCCAATAACTTATCCTTAATGGATTTTTACAATTTTGGTATAGTGTAGCTGCCCAAATGTGGTGGTGTATCTTCATAGTAAGAAAGGTAACATACCTGAAAATTGCTTTAAAGCTTATGTGCATTACCTGTTTTAAAGCACTGTGGGGGAATTCCATCACTGTGTAAACTACATTTTCCAAAACATGGAATACATTATTAAAACTACACTTAATGAATATACATGTAAAACTAACAATCATTGTAAATTAACATATCTATTTAAATATTTATTCTTTATAATACAATATACATTTACAGTATCTCCTTTATAGACTACTTTGAGTCAAAAGGTAACAATCAAGTAGAATCCAAAAGACTGATCCCCTGTTGAAGTAGTTGCAGGTGATCTTCAGAGACTCAGAAGATCCATGTTCTGATAAAAGGCTAATTATACACTATGTGCTCTGTTACACTCTGCCCTTCTCAGCTTCACAGAACACTCAGTGGTTGACCTTGTATCATTGTGTCTGATTTGAGAGATAGCATCACTGAAGCATATACAGTATGACAAGATTCTGGACTTGAACTTCTGTCATATGTACAGTACACCTTCTTGTTTCTGAGCTACACAGACCACACACAAGATCTAACATGCTTTACTAAAAGACCAGCACTTTGAAATAAAGGATTTGAGTGCTGAGAGACTATGAGAGTGGGAAGTGACATCATTATTAAGAACTCGTTATTCACTATTTGCAAAGTAACACATGTAGACAATATTACATACAGTATACTGTATCACTTCCAAAATATTATAATGAAAGTGGTTAAATACTTTTAACTAAAAAACATCTAGAATCCAAAGTACATACTGTATAAATCATTTTTTTTAATTCCATAAAGCTTTTCACACTGAAGATAAAACAGGATTACCATAAGAATTATGACACATTAAGCATCAATTTTGTGAAGCCAGCCTTTTCCACTTCCCCTCAGTACTGATAACTCAAGCTGACATGTTGCATGTGCTCTTGAATTAAATTCAAATGAACAGATCTGTGTTTTTTAAGTAATTGCATATGTTCACTGACAGGGTGCTAAGAACTAGTGTGTTTTGCTAGGGGCTGTACCATCATAAAACAGAACAGTTTGGGGCCATTTTTTTTCTAGACCCACAGATGTTAGTCTCATGATACTATTAATTTTATAACCTGTCAGTTGAAATAACTACTTTAGGAGGTATTGTACGTATAGCCCAACAACTGTATAAGAATTTGCTTATTTGGCTGGATGGTAAAAAATGTCAGTTAAAGAGAAACTGTTTCTTTGGTATTTTACAGTTTTGAATGATCCTTATGTGCGTATACTTGTATAAGTATGCTGCACATTCACAGATAAATGTTAGTCAGATATACTTAAAATGAACAAACTACTGAAAGTGTGGTATTTTACAAGGTGCTCTGAAAACTGGGCATCACACCTTTTAATAAGCAAAAAAACAAAAAACTGGAAAAATGAAACACTTCACACTCCCAAAGCAACCAAATCCTGCTAATTATTTAGAGCTCATTATTTAATCATAGTGGGTCCAATCTTAAAACTGTACAGTAAATATTCTTTATGAAACCCTCCAGGCTGAAGAGATTTGAAAATTGGGTCAGTTGAAATCTAAGGGGAAAATAAAGACTGAAAATCGGATTTTGCCTGCAGCTGGATAAAAGTACAGGAACCTGCAATCTATTTACTCTCTGGCAAGGGATTCATAGGTATTTGAAATTCATTATACCTTGTGGCTGGGAAAATCAAGAAGATATTTATAAGGATGAAAGCATTACATGAAGTGTAGCAGAGGATCATTTTTTCCTAATTAAAACAATTTTTATTTTTAACTTTTCCCAGCTTTGGAACTTGCCAATCACATTTTCAACAGCTACAGTCACTTGTCTATTAACCACTTCAAAGATACAGTATTTCTCAATGTGTTACTTGAAGGCAGTTGAAATAAACACATACAGGATATGTAAAATAATTTATTTCAACTATTACTTGAAAATATGTATTATAGTATTTTTTCACTCCACATTTTTGTATTTAATCTTATGCTTTAAGAACTGTAACAACTTTTAAACCTTCAACATATTTTCTTTAAAGTTCCTTGATATTAGTGTTATATGATGTCATAAACAGTACAATAGCTTCACCAAAAAAAAACAGTAAAGCTTGGGGACAAACTCTCAATAACCAATTAATATTACATATTAAGCACATAATACAATTACATATTACATTTCACTAGTATGCTGCAAGTTAAGGATGTAGCCTAAGAAGATTCACCACTCCAAACTGGAGGGAAAACCACACCTTAGAATCACCAAGATGCAAGATCCTGAAAAAGTAGTCCAGTTTGCAAAATCTATGGATGAAGCTCTGAAAGTCACTCAGAATGGTGATTCTGTCACTGACACGTGGGAAGAACTATATATAGCAGTGCTTTTGCTACATATGGGAAAAGGACCTTGAAGAACAGAGACTGGTTTGAAGCCAAGTCTTGAGAGATGAATCCCGTTACTGAAGCAAAGTGTGCGGCCATCACGGAACACAGGCATTCACCAAGTGGGAGGTTTTTGCAGATGCTGAGAGCTGCCAGGAGGAAAGTCCAGCAGACAGCCAGGCGCTATGCAAATGAGTACTGGTAAGAACTCTGTGAAGACAGCTGAACAGCAGTTGCAACAGGTAACATCAGAGGGATGTACGATGGCATCAACAAAGTCCTTGGTCCTGCTCAGAACAAAACAGTACCCCTCAAGTCCTCCAGTGGGGAAATGATTACTGACAGAGGCAAGCAGATGGAGAGATGGGTAGAACATTACTCTCAGCTTTACAGAGAATACTGTCATCAGTTCAGCACTTGTTGCTGTAGAGTGCCTGCCCATTATGAATGAACTAGATGCAGAAAGCCAAACCAAGAAGAACTCAGCAAGGCCATTGACAGCTTGGCT